TGAGTGTCTCTGTACGTTTGCAGCCCTGGTGATGTTTCCAGCCCTGGTGATGTTTCCAGCCCTGGTGATGTTTGCAGCCCTGGTGATGTTTGCAGCCCTGGTGATGTTTGCAGCCCTGATGATGTTTGGCACCCAGAACATTATACTAACCCTGTGGTGGTGCTCTTCGGACAGAATCTTCCTCAGCGTACTCAATGTCAACTGTTGAAGCGAGGATTCCCGGAAACATGGCGCATTGAGCAGGGAGTGGTGCTTTCCTGGTGAAGTTAAGTCAGCGGGAAAGCGCCAGCTCCGGTGTACGGAGCAACAAACGTTGATATGACTGGAAAAAAAACTTTCGCATGAAAATGATGAATGGATGATGGATGAAGAATGAAATATTTTGAAGTTGAAATCGGATACTGGGACATTACTAGATGTACTTCTGAAGTAAAGTAGACGAAAACACATGAGAACTAGTTATAATTATAGCAACTTAATATCCAAGACTGCAACAAGATAACAAGCAGTCAAAAGGGGCAGATCGTTGAAGGTCTCACTGGCCTGTCAGTTTTGTTCCCTTTCATTGTACTTTCTGACTGCTTATTATCTTGTTACAACCCTCGATAGTTGGTTTCATAACTAGTTCCCATTTGTTTTCTTCTCTTTTAGATGAATGATGAATGAATGCTTTCACATGAAAATGATGAACGGTGCTTCCAGTTGGGGACACAACTCAAGAACATGACCATCAGTGTACATGTCCTCCTTCGCCTCAGCGCTGAACTTGAGATGCGACCATCCATAGCAAGTACATATGGTCTGTTGCTACTGTGCCACTATTATCAGTTCTAGCACTGTGCGTGTACTTCAAGTACATGTACAGCATTCTTGAATGTAAGTCGCACTAATTTATAGAAGAAGAAAAAGGATCAAGGAACTACAAGTTACGCTATAATGTCCACCAGTTACTAATTATTATTATTATTATGTGCATTTTCGCGTTGAAGTCGACCAAAAGGTCCACTTCTTCACGTGTGCTGGACAACGAAGGCAGGAGGATAACAGATGATACGCTGTTGGAAAAAATCAAACGATCACTGTATCAGAACCAAAACAGCACGAATCAGAAGAAAAGGGGCAAAGGAGCCGCAGAAGTATAAAGTCAATGGTGGGTGAACAATGCAGTAGAGAGCATTGAGTGATGGTGTGGTGGATCAGCAACAAAGGCACCATCCAAACATCCAAACATACAAGGTTACATGTACTTGTACGTTGTTGAGAAGAAGACAGATATTGCAGTGTCCTCCATCTCTTACAGATCCTTTTCTGTCACCCGTTGACACAGAGCTCGCCACTCGGCCCTATCCACTGCAATCTTCCTGATTCTGTGCAAGTCCTCCAGACTACCCAGCTTTCCGGCATCTGCTGCCTCCAAGTCAGCAGATAGTGTACCCGGCAGGCTGGTCCTCGGCCGTCCTCTCCAGCCCTTGAGGTCCTTGTTGGTGTAGTAGCTGACCATTGCCTGGACGGCTGGTGTGCTGTCAGACAGACGGAGGACATGTCCGAATAGCTTCCATCGCAATAGCTTGATGCCAACACCAGTAACTGTTTGGTCATATTCTACGCCTCCCTGAAGCAACAACAGCGCAGGTGAGCATGACAGCGTATTTCCAGCGACAGAATCGGGGCTGGCTCGGACGCCCGCGCATCACCCTACCAGTGGTGATAGACAACGAATTAGCCAAGGCAACGTCCATGCGTCTCCGGAGTCTGAAGGACCTGGAGACACTGCGTTTGGTGGCTCGGAACAGGCAATAATTTAACGATATAATCGCACAGGTCACATTGTAGAGTGCAGATCACCTAGTGCTTTAAAACAATAATAACGTACTTCCACATTATGGGAATTTGGTATAACCCCACACCCGTCATTGTTGAATATTCGATAATAGCGTGGATTTCCCCAACAATATTTTTCATTTTTTGTTATCCTCTCCCATGCAGTTGTACATAAGCGGCTTGCCGCGGATATGTCAATACTACTAATACCAGTTACTAAGCAATCAGCAAATGCGATAACATTGCACGACACTGACCGACGGTACTGACGTTCTACAACTAACTGACCGTACAGCTCTAGCACATCTTAGATGCGCACTCCAACAGCCTTCCGACTTGGAAGGCTCTAAGTTAAAGAAATAACACATAGGGAGGTGGTGTTGGTGGACATGATAGTGTAACTTGTAGGTCCTTGGTCCTTTCTTTCTTCTATAAATCAATCCTTGGTTCTCCATCCAAGTCGACTCCTGCAAGTAGTACTGTCCAGATGTTGCTGTGGTCATCTAAACTCATCTTGTTATTTTAGAACGTGGATTTGAATGTTGTCGAACACTTTTTGTTTATTTTGTAAGTAAAATATGTTACACGTGGATGGGCATGGGCGTATGCATGCAAACGTACGTCGTTAAAAGCCGGAGGCCTGACAACGCTGACACTTGGATCCACTGTAACTTGAATCCAGTGCTGCATTGTAACCCTCAGCATTGCAACACATGCTACATGCTATGTATTGTAGTTTGGCGTACTTCGAAGTACATGTACTAGTAAAACTCCACCACACCTAACACGGGACCTTTCAAAACCGTCACTATTATGCTACGGTAGTGCTGGTTCAACTAAAAAGTAAGTAAGGCTCAACTCTCTGCGTTACAATCGTCTTAGAAAGCTAGGGAGCAAATTTATTGGTTTGAACCTACATGCTAGTCTCAATTTGTTGTCGCATACAACTCTAACAACCACCTGGCAATTGTCCTTGGCATGCTCATACATGTATTGCTGCCAGACCAGGAAAATGTAGATACAGTCATAATGTTGCATTTCAAGTAGTTACTGAATCTGCGGACAGAACTGTTTCGTCCTTTGTGGACTCAACGGCGCAGAACAGAGGAAATTAGGCAGAACCAGATACCGGTAGTAATGAAATGTAAAATTTCCAAAAGCAAGATTTAAAGCAGGCCCGAACGTACCTTGCCGGGCTGCTCAAACTGACAAATCAGTGACCTCTGCATAGCGCAAACAACAAAGTCACTACCCCACACGAGAGTGGTCAACTCCTACAACGTCAAGAGTAGGAGCGAAATACTTTTAAAATCTACGGACAGAACTGTTTTGTCCTTTGTACACTCATCAGCGCAGCACAGAGAAAATGAGGCGGAACCTGATAGCAATGAAAAATAGAATTCCAAAGCCATATTTAAACCGGGCACGGATGTACCTTGCCGGAATGCTCAAACGGACAAGTCAATGAGCTCTGCATAATGCAAACAGCAAAGTCACTACCCCACACAAGAGTACTCAAATGCTACAAGAGCGGGACTACCTGTATTGTAATTTTATTAACTGGCTCAATATTCGACTTATGTCTTGTTATGAACTGACAAGTGACAAGGAGAAGGAGGAGCACTCCGGGAATTTTTACGGTAGTGTGTTCTCTTCATGGGGGCCTCATATGGCCTCCAAGGAATGGGGAATCGCGAAAACTAGACCCAAAAAGTCGATATAATTATGAAGCCAGGGAGGGCCAAGTTTGTCTGCTCCGCGGAGGGGTTTGATGACGTCACCTGTGATTAGTATTCAAATTCCCTGCATTTGAAGGTGTTAGTTGTTTGCATTTTCTGGTGATGAAGAACGATGTTTGGTCGACATTCCCAAGCTTCACAACTGCAGCCATACTCCAAGGAACCCGAAGGGCCTCCTCAGGTGTCCCTGGTAGCAGCGCAGCGTGATGAGGGCCAGGAGATTGGAGCAGACGACTTCACTGGTCGACAAGGAAGAACCGATTGGTGTTCCTGCTAGAAATGTGGAGGTTTGCAGAGGGCAGTCGATTGCCTTTGCTGTCGAGAGAGCGATGGAGCTGTTAGCATTGACAGCGCTTTGACATGCGTTACGCATCACCCCGACTTCACGTTTGCTTGTCTAAACATGTACCAGCTCCCCATCCGATCCCTCCTCCTGCTCGCGTTTTCGATTGAGGTAAAGTGATTCCTTTCGAGGCCGTTCAACGTGGAACTAGACTTTGCAGACATGCCTGAACTCTAAAATAACGTAAGCAATGCACCCTCCACGCGACGAGCTTACGAGGTCGATTTTTGCCTGACTGGCTGCTCATCGCTCCGTTAGCCATAAATTCGCTCATCAGATTGAGCTGAAAGCAGGTCCGTTCAAAGTGGGCTGAACACAAACGATCCTAATTTATTGGCTCTAAGAGCTTGTGCGTTTTCCCACCGGCGACTCGAGCTGCTCTACCCATGTTTTTGACCTATGAAAGCCGCAACTCAGCGTCGTAGGAAACGTAAACCTCGTCAAAATTGTGCATGCCTCATCCTTCGAATCGGAGCACAGCACCTCGGCATGACAGACGGGAAATCTGAAGTTGGCACCTCGACGACATGCAAGAAACAAACTTGAAAACTACCCTGGAACGCTTCACCTCGACAGTTTCAGCAGTGTTCCCATTCGAGCTCCTGGAGCGCGATTGAGCTCCTAATCACACGTGACGTCATCAAAACCTCCGCGGAGGAGACAAACTTGGCCCTCCCTGGCTTCATAATTATATCGACTTTTTGCGTCTAGTTTTCGCGACTCCCCGTTCCTTGGGGGGCATACGAAGCCCCCACGAACAGAACACACTACCGAAATAATTCCCGGAATGCCCATTTAACTCCAAATCTCCCCCTCACAGAATGTATAACACTTCACTTTTCTAAACCCAACAACGTCTTTTCATGGACTTCCAGGAGTTCCACTAACCCAACAACGTCTTGTTATGGACTTCCAGGAGTTTCACTAACCCTTAGTAAATTCACTGTGTGGTACGTAGGCGAGAATAGGCCACTGATTGTCTGCAGACCAGCACTCACCACACCTCTCAGGGTGACAGCAAATTGAATATTTCTTTACTTACTTTGACCCTGAATGCCAAGTGCAATAACAGTACAAATATTCTCATGACCAGAATCCATTTCCTTTGATTTCGGACTGGAATTTCACACAATGTAAATCCTACTTTGTAAACCGTTCTTCCTGAAACCGCAAATTACTAATAGAATAGGACAAAGAAATGCCGAACAGCCGATGATGCCGTCATGAGCACAAAATGGAAGACGTTTTTTAATTATAATAGAAGTGGGGTAGTGAAGCATTGAAAACGTTTCTGCATTGACTACAGAGCAAGTGTATTCTACGCTGTTGTAACAACCGCGTGTCCCACAAAAGTAGAGTCAATCTTGTGCATTAGAAGGAAAGCATTGCATACTGGGAACAGAGGTGCACTTGAAAACGAATTGTGGTAGTTTTGAGATGTAGAACAACATACATACATAGGTACAACATACATACATAGGTACATGCATACATACATGGGTACATGCAGATAGATAGAATGGATAGATACAAGGGATAGATTGAGTGATTAGATAAAATGGATATTTCAAAGTAGATAAAGTGGATAGATAAAAAGGTCAATAGACAGAATACAATGTAGAGAAACGGGAAACAACTTGTATATTCTAACGCCGTGTTGCCTGCCTCAGGAAGACTACCAGTCAACAGTAAACACTACTAGATTGTTACAGAGATGGAAAGGGGGGGGGGAGAGAGAGAGTAGAGAGGGAGGGGGGGGGGCAGAGGAATTGGGAGGCAGACTTCTAGTTCTGTTGATTATTGCAAAGTTCTTCGATATGCAGAGTGGATGTGATGCTACCTGTACCATAGTAGTAACCCAGGTAATCTGTGTTTGTACTGCATTGTGCCTGTATGTGTGTAGAGAAGGACAGTGGACCTGAAGTGTGAATATTACAAATACCACTCACAACACCAGCATGTATTTGATAGTAAGGTGAAGTACTAGAGGTTCCACTTCTGATCGGGGCTGGGTCTGAACAGTCACTGCCGTTAATACGCACTGACACCTTCACACAATGCCATGCATTGTTCCCATGCTGAAATCCAATAGAGGTTGTGTACACCACTCTGATAACAGTGTCAGGTCTAGTCTTGTTGAACACGACTCCACTGAACGGGTTTCGATGGCTATTAGATGTCTCCATTGTAAATGTCTTCCATGATACAATACCGCACTGAAAATGACATAGAAGTACATAATACAAACATGCATATGATATGAGCATAATTTACCCAATTTGTGGCACGCGGTAGTGATTGTTAATTATTCAGAACAATGTTGAGTAGCCATTTTCACTGCTGTCAAACCCAGGAATAGGGTTTACTGGGCCGTCGTGAGTTCCATTAGGGAACGGACACGATAATATACTCTTTTTGTTTATTTAAACTCCGGAATATAGAGAGAGGTGAGGTACTGCTGGGAGACAGCTAAAACAATACTTCTGAAGTAATAAGTAGTTATACCCAAGAGAGTATCAATGGACCAGACTACCAATCTCTCCCGGCCTTAGCCCATCATGAAACTGTTAAGCACAAGCCAGGCAGACTGTGTGTAGACAGTGGAGACGTCCAGTGGAACAGTTTACACAACAACTGCCAAACTGTCACAATCTTATCGTTATCCTCTTTGATATTATCACATATAATAGTTTGTTCACTTCTTGCCACTGCCAGTTCGTTTCCTGTTGCGCGTTCTCATTGTTTCTGTAGTTGTATTTCACTCTTTTATAACCTGATTCATGACATGTTTGGGTTGTCGTTCACTTGCACCAATCCTGGAACTAAGTTGGAACTACTACCCGCAGCAGTAACAACCACTAGACATTGTACAATTACAAATAAAGCTGTGGACAATATTGTGGGTTGACCGAGTATAGGCTTTCTTATGACTGTGAAAAAGACTCGCAAAGCAGCACCAAGGAGAGCCCTCGTTTCAACATTCACTTGCAAAGGGCATGGTCTGCACCAGTTGACTCGGGAAAACAGGGCATGCCTTCAAAATGAGCTTGGAAGAAAATGTTTATAAAAAAATCTTCCTGACATAATTATACGTATCAACATATCATGCTATCACCTGCCGGTATCAAGTCTATTCTGCATCTCATTTAAACCTGCTTCACGCCTTCACCAGCCTTCGAACAAAGCTACCCCTCCGCCGTACAGTCCAATTCAGGCTCTCCTTTTTGGACTCTCTTGACTCTAATCTCTCCCTCTCAGGCTAGTGAATCGATTAGACGCCGAGGCCTCTTTTTAAAAGTCATTTAAAGGAAAGCACTTCTTACTCTTAGTCGTATTGCTAGTATTCTATTACATTGCATAACAGAAATGCTTAACTAACCTTCTTTCTTTCCTCCTGCAGAGTAGCACTGATTGTTGAATGCTGCTCAACAAAATGTTGCTTCATTGACTTGAAATGTTGCTTCGTCTGTTGGAAAATATTTGAAAAATGATCAGATAGACACTAACCCTTTTCTCCGGTGTTTTTCAAATATTCTCATTCATTTTTAATACTGGCATGAAGTACAGAAATCTAGATAACATGTGTATGTTCCAGTCCGAGGATTTAAGTTGCATAATAGACACTGTCATTCTGCAATGTGTGAAAGGCCAAAGATTATGTGAAAAAGTCGATATTTGACGACTTGAGCCAGACTGCCATTTGGAACGTACATGACTGTATCTCTGGATATCTCGACAAAACTACAGAATGTGTGCTCTGGTTGATTTCATGTTTTGTTTGGCGTTAGGTAAAAGCTTGTCCTGCCATCTGTGCAAGCAGTCGGGTAAGTTGTTGCCCTTTTGGCCAATTCAGCATTGAATTCTGCTTGGAAGGATTGTGGCAACTCTGTTGTGACTCATGGTTGGTTATGATCTCTTGGCCTGTATTTATGGAATACGGTGCAGTGATTGAAATTTTCATCCAGCACATTATTGCAGTTCTGATCTACTCGAGTATCACCTGCTACAAGGAGCTGTGACATATGCCCCTTGATCTGCTCTCAATAACAGAATCCCACGCAAGCCGTACGGCATGCACCTTGCGTATGGAAACACTGCATTGCTTTCCTATCTTCTGTCCTTCCTCCGTCAAAGTGGCATTGATTGCAGCAAACTGTTGAGCAGAATGCAGCTGCATGTTCATGAGGTGTTGCTTTGTCTGTGAGAAGAAGTTCAAGTAAAATGAATTAGACTCAAATATACCAGGAATTTGCTTGCCGAGAGCTAGCTTGACTACACACTCACTCAGGTTGTCTGAGCATGCCAAAGTGTTCATTGCCTAGCTACCGATTCGGATCACTTCCATTTGCTGTAGCTCTGGGAGAAAAGTACTCTTTAACGTTATTCAATGCGGACACCGGGTCCTGTGTCTGCTCTTCCGAGAGGTCAAAAGTTATGCTATTCTCAAGATTCTATTCTCTCACGGACGACGTAGGTGTGGGATCTTCCCAAAAAAATTGCGTGAGACTCGGTTGGAAACCGAATATTCCGCGTCCGTAGGAACGACACCACCCTTCAAAGATCAAGGCGCAGATCCTCCCAAAACTCGACTGATATTAAATTAGGCTGAGTACTGTGAACTGATTCGACTTTCTACAGGAAAATCAAGTGAGTTTAATGGAGACTTGGTCATGACATCACGAAGTCAAATCCTTACTGGACATCCTACTGTTTAGAAACAACAACTTCCTACTCCGTTGTTTATGTACTTGTACATGTATGCACACGTATCACTTTTTTAGTAGCTGAGTCTGCGATAAAATTTTCAGCCTGAGTGAATCTCACAAGGCGTTTGAGATATTTTCAATCGGATAGGGCACATTTACACACACACACACACACACAGGCTTGGATGCCTTGTATTATGATACCAGTGAAATACTTCATTGTGGTACGCTTACCCTTTGCCCTTCTTCCTGCAGAGTGGTGTTGATTGAATCAAACTCCTTAGCAGAATGTTGCTGGATGGCCCTGAAGTGTTGCTTGGTCTGTGGGAAAGAATTGAATTAAAATCAAAGGAACTCACGTTCCCGGGCTTGCATTTTATAACCAAACATATGCAGACCCTAAAATGTCTGTTTTGAACATCTACGGTCCAAATGAAGCCCAAAAAAATATGCGTTTGCTTAGACACTACGGGATGTTGAGACATTTCTGTACTTTTTATATTCGATCATTCTATGGTATGTCAATATTGGCACCTCTGATCGCCGCTGGATATTATATTTGCAATAATTGCTGTGTTGCATATGGCCACTTGGATTGGAATTCTTAGAACAGTGTTTTTGATAGCAGTTTCCTTACCTTCTTCTCCTGTGCTTGCTGAGATAAGTTCAATGACGTCATGTCCTCCTTAATGGATAGGAGTTTAACCGTGTTCTGCAAATACAGCGCAAACCAATATCCTGTGTGAAAGGAGCCAAAACAGTTTTTGCTTGCTGAGAGCTAGCTTGACTACACACTCACTCAGGTTGTCTGAGCATGCCAAAGTGTTCATTGCCTAGCTACCGATTTGGATCATTTCCATTAGCTGTAGCTCTGGGAGAAAAGGACTCTTTAACGTTATTCCATGCAGACACCGGTTATTGTGGCTGCTCTTCCAAGAGGTCACAAGTTGCACTATTCTCAAAATTTTATTGTCTCACGGATGACGGAGGTGTGGAATCTTCCCAAAACTCGACTGATATTAATCAGGCTGAGTACTATGAACAGATTCGACTTTCTACAGGAAAAGTCACGTGAGTTCAATGGAGACTTGGTCATGATATCACGAGTTCAAATCCTTGCTGGAAATCCTACTGTTTACAGGACAACGACTTCCTACTCCGTTGTACATGTATGCTCACGTATCACTTGTTTAGTAGCTGAGTCTGCGACTAAATTTTCAGCCTGAGTGAATCTCACAAGAAGTTTAAAATATTTCAGTTTGATAGGGTACATTCACACACACACACACACACACACACACACACACACACACACACACACACACACACACACACACACACACATACACACACACACACACACACACACACACACACACACACACACACACTACTACTACTACTACTACTACTACTACTACTACTACTACTACTACTACTACTACTACTACTACTACTACTACTACTACTACTACTACTACTACTACTGTAGCTTGGTTGCCACAAGGGCCACACCATTCCGAAAGGAGCAGGAGTCATTGTCAGGAGCAGAAACGGAGATGACGACTCAGGTCACTGTGTCGAAGGAACTGACGGTTGCAGCGAGAACAGCGAACACCATACGACGCTCTATCAGACTCGGTTGCTCGATGGCCACGGTCGCACTTGTGACACACACACACACACACAACCACACACACTCACACACACGCGCTCGCACACACACACACACACACACACACACACACACACACACACACTTGCACACACACACACACACACACACACACACACACACACACACACACACACACACACACACACACACACACACACACACACATTCACACAGGCTTGGATGCATTGTAGTATGGTATCAGTGAAATACTGCATTGGTATGCTTACCTTTCGCCCTTCTTCCTGGAGAGTGGCATTCATTGATTCAAACTGCTTAGTAGAATGTTGCTGGATGGTCCTGAAGTGTTGCTTGGTCTGTAGAAAGAATTGAATTAACACCAAAGGAACTCACTTTCCCCCTGGGCTTGCATTTGATAACCAAACATATGGAGACCCTACGCAAGAGGTACACAAAAGGAAGTAAATAGGGCTGTGGTTTTGTTATAACTCAGAGTTTCATGGCAAAAACCAATCATCAGAAAACATAAGGAGATTAGGAAAACGCAGGTATATGAAGGCAAGCAGAGGAGATAGAATAATTCAGTGCAGACGATATGATAATCAAACCCTCCCACTATTGCAGGTTTAGGCGCATAGCCTCTATGCAGACCCTATGTCTGTTTTGAACATCATCGGGTCCAAATGAAGCCAAAACAAAATATCCGTCCGCTTAGACACTACGGGAAGTTGAGGCATTTTTGTACTTTATATTCGATCATCCTGTGGTTGGCTATTATGATTACCTCTGATCGCCGCTGGCTAATATATTTGCAATAAATGTTATGTTGCATGTGGCCACTTAGACTGGAATTCTTGGAACAGTGTTTTTCACATCACTTTCCCTTCCCTTCTTCTCCTGTGCTTGCTGAGATATGTTCAATGACATCATCTCCTCCCTAATGGAGAGGAGTTTAACCTTGTTCTGCAAATACAGAGCAAACCAATAATATTATCCTGTATCAAAGCAGCCAAAACAGTACTGCTACATATAGCTGTAGAGTGTCAAACAATTGTTTATTGTGATCAGATGTTTAAAAACCAAACGAGAAAGCCACAAGAGATTGTCACCTGAATTTCCATTTGATCCACCTTCGTCTTCTGCTGGACAAATATGGTTGTCAGTACTTTCATGTCGGAGAGTAGTTTATTGATTTGGAGATCCCTTTCTTCCAGTTTCTCTTCCAGCTGCTTGTTGTAGGTTTTAACCTCTTCAATTTGGTAGCAAAGCTCGCTGTTTGCAGATGATCCGCACAGATCAACTAGAAGGGGTGAAAACAGAGCAAAACCCCAAGAATATCAACTGTTATCTTGGGTCCGTCCGTAATTATCCATCACTGCTACCAAACGAAACACATTGCATTTAGGCGTGTGTGGGACTGCTGTGTCCCTGTGTGCGTACCCAGTAAGAATCAACAGAATTTTTAGTCCGACTGAAAGTGATATGGCATGCAGCTTTAAAAGCATCTAAAAGTCAAAGTGATACATGTAATTATATTATGTCTATGGAGCTGGAAACGACCACCTTGCCCGGTTCAGACCTTTCCAATGAGCCTCATATCTAGGAGGTCCATCAATGTATGGAAAATGGGGTTCGATTTTGTTCCGTGACATGAATGCAGTTTTTGAAACGAGGTTAAGTGCGTTAAAAACCCAGTCGCCCTGGGAAAACGAGACCAACAGTGAACGTGTCCCAACCCTTTCAGTCAGTTACTGTGCTCAAAAGGAAATCCCGGTTACATTTCCTTAAAGTCCACTTGGCACATCTCTACTCACGGATAGTGCAGTTCAAGGGTTTGATGATCCTCAGAAAGGAACAGAACGAAATATAAAGATGATTGTTTGTGGATGCTTCCTGTCGCGAATATTCGCGATTTTGTTCCATGACGTGGATGAAGAGTTTGAAAGGCGGTTTAGTGCGTTGAAAACTCAGCCGCCCTGGGAAAATGAGGCCAACAGTGAACGTGCCTTAGCCCCTTTCAAAAGTCAGTGACCATGCTCAAAAGGAAATCCCGGTTACATTTCCTTCAAGCCCATTTGGCACTTGTCTACTCATAGATAGTGCAGTTCAAGGGTTTGACGATCTTCAGAAAGGAACAGAATGAAATCTGAAGGTGTTTGATGGTGGATGCTTCCTGTCGCAAATATCCATGAGTGTCTCTGTAGTCTGTTCATGAATATTGAACTTCGGTATTTCTGTCCTTTTTCGACTCCAAAACACACTGTACGTATGCGGTTTCCTAGACCTGTGAAACTATATTGCATTCGATGCCATCAATAGTGTGACACTTACCTTGGCAGTTAGTACCATCTCCCTTGTATCCAGATTGACAGTAACAAGAGTATGATCCTACAGTGTTATTACACATTGCATGTTCATTACACTCATGTACACCATCTGTACATTCATCTAGGTCTGGACAGAGAATGTGAATGAAGGGAACAGTTCGGGTATTCAACCAGTGCAATATACACATGACCATGCTGGGAGAAAGCATGTGGTCGTAAAAACTGCTATTACTAGCCACTGTTCAGTTTCGGCAGTAGGAGCTAAATTGAAATCATATTCGGACGAATAAGCAAAAGCATAATCATAAGCGAAGCTGTGGACCCATCATACTGCTGTTACACTTCAACTGAACGCAGAAATATTGTGAATTACTCACACAATGTACTGTTTCACTGGTACTAGCCACATCGCAATCAATGCAACTAACTAACACAAATAAAAGGGGGTTTGTCAACTGACAACCGCTCTATTTAGTTGCTACTCACTCTCTAGATGAACATTCTTTTATTAACGATGTCGAAATATCATGAGCGGTTGTCAGCTGACAAACCCCTTTTATTTACAATGCAGTTGCGTGATGTCCACCACTTTCTGAAGTAGCTAACACAAGTTTAGCTTCATTTGCTCTCTCTCTTTCTCTCTACATAATTATAATAATGACAATAATATTTTGGTCAAAAAACTATCCCTATGTATGTCAGATTATAGCGGAGCCCGACAACAGTCTTGCTTTCAAAGGCTTTTGTTACAGTAGACAATGCTCAGTTATCATAGAGGAAAACTGGAGCAGTTGAATGGGATTCAACGGGACTGCAGGGTATGACATTCCATGACGCAGTAGAAAATACGAAGTTTGCTTCAATGTTGTCAGGACAAGTATGAATGAGGCTGCCTCCAATTTTAGCCATAACACGTCCCGCGATGGGCCTTTACTTGGCCTCATTGCCGGATTTCCCCAGTGAGTGGTTGTTATACTGAATTTGGCTTCGATTAGTTAGACATGCTTCCCGGCAACTCACCATTACACAAGCGTCCATCGCCTTTGAATCCCGTGTTGCACTCACACCCAAATGATCCATAACTGTTGATGCAAAATGCTACAGCTGGTTGGTCACAGTTGTTCAAGTCTGGTCGACTACACTCATCTATGTCTGCACGTACACGCAGTAGGGACAAACAGACAAATAGAAAGATTTACACACAAGGGGAGTTCATAATGCTTACTGACGAGCTGAGGTGCTAATTACTTGCGAAATGTCAGAAGACACAAGTTGGCAATGGAAAAGGCTACTTATTTACTGTTCAACGCTGAGTTCCATTGAAATTCACCAAACGTCTGCTGTTTTTGTTCACTTTTGAAATGAAAACACACCAACAGCCTTTCATTCATAATATCTTTCCTTTGTAGTCCAACTCTCAATGTGATGACGATCTCTGATGATTCTCACATAAAAACGACGCTCAAACCGTTTAAAAACACTATTGTTAAATTGTTCTCGTGGTATGAGTGCGCTCACTTTGCTTTCATCCATGTTTACATAACATTTTCTGTTGCTTTTGTTGTACATAATGAAGCGGAGCCATTTACAAAGGGTTTTCGCCTCTTTTTCAATGATCCTGCATGACACTCACCTGCATCACACCTCCTTCCAGTCAGTCCAGCTGGACAAACACAAACAGCAGATTGCTGTGTAGTGTTGAACACACATTCTCCAGAGACTGAGCAAGGTAGACGCCTTGTTAAGTCAGCTGTGGGGCACTCTGGCGTTCGATCTGGATACAATTTGAGTGAAGGCAGAGCAGATGTCAGGAAAGAAAATTAGCAAACTCTGCGGCATTTCCAAATTGATGAAACAGCAATACTGAACCTGGGAGAAGGCAGTGCATTTCCCCTGGTTTTCATTGTGCTATCCTGAAAATGTCCTATGCATTCGTTCTGATGTCTTCAGTCATTATCGGAGTCTTATATCCTCTAATCAGAAGTGGTTTTCCTTATTTTGACTTAACTCATGCATTTGTGATCGTGATAATCCTCTCGAAATTTTCAGCAGCAAGCACTTCCGCCCGTACAGTAGCACCCTCCCTTAGCTCCTGTCAAGTTGTATTTCTCGCGAAATATTTTCATTTGCAACTATGGCATCGGGTGTGTTCTTTATTGTCGCTTCTTTTCCTGGCTTCTTCAGTCAGTTTTGAGTCTCACCAGTGGCCCTGCCCTCCCACCCTTCATTTCTGTGCATATTATCATTGCTTTTAACACTGTTTGCAGTGATGTGCTTGCCATGCCTACATGATGCCTAATCACCATTGGGGATATATTGATTTTAAATAGGTAAGGTCATGTTGCAAGTTTTTAAGCTCCGCTTACTTTAGGTCCCTGTGGCAGAGAACTTGATCTGGACACACTAGGAATATGGCATTGAATATGGACATCGACCTCGCCTTGCTGACTTTCGAAGAGCTGCGGCATCTCGCCAAACAACATCCTATTGACGGAGCCGAGTCAAAGAGCCGAGTTGATCTTGTGGTTTCCCTAAGACAAGCTGGTGTGGGTGTAACCCCGATCAAGGCCAATGAGGTCAGTACTAGTAGTAGTCTGAAGTCTCTAAACGAGCTTGTATGTGTAGTGATAGAGCTAAGAGAGCAACTTGAGCAAGCGAAGCATGATAATGCCATTGTTTCTTCACTTCGGGATGAGGTTTCCAGCCTAAAATTGGAAGTACTAGAGCTGAGGAACTTCACTACAGGCGCACTTTCTCAAACTGCCAATGACACCCACAACCGTCGCACAAGTGCTAACGAAGTTACCGTAGAGCCCTCCCTGTATGAAACTGACACATCCATCACCACTGCACCGCAATCACAGCACACCTCCACATCGCAGCATGCACGCTCAAGTTCAAATGACCGTACTACCGGTATGCACTCGCAACCACGTGCCGCTTCCCAGTCCAGCGACACTACTCGTGCAGCACCTAGACCTGCTGGCAACGGTCACGTCACTACGGACAGCAGTTCCCGCAACAAATCAGATGGACAGAGCTCTTGGGTCGATGTTGTACGACGTCGGGTCACATCTCGGTACGTCAAGCCTATGCCCACGGTCGAAACAAACCCTGTAGTCCTGACAGGTGTCGAAAAGGTGGACAAAGCGAAATTCTATGTAGGAAACGTCCACATGGGCTGCAGTGCCGACTCCATCAAGGATTGGTGTCAAGAGCGTGCAGTGGATGTGCTCAACTGCACCATCTTGGAATCCCGCACCTTCGGAACAGCTTACGCCAGAGTGACATTCCCAGCCTCAGCTACGGAAAAGGTACTGGGTGACGGATTCTGGCCTGCAACTATCCAGCACACCGTAAGAAAGTGGCGGTTTGCAGATTCAAATACGAACAAACCAGGTAAAACCTCCACGTCGTCAGAATGATGGCTTCCGCACCGCTGAGCGCCCAGGCCTTCCCATATTTTCCTAAGACTCAACATAACATCACTATTGTTACGATTAATTGTCGCTCCGTGTCGAACAAAATCCCTGAACTCCATGCATTGTGTCGATCCAACACACCGACTATCCTATGTCTGACAGAAACCTGGCTCTGCCAGATACATATGCTCAGTGTACCCGGTTATACGTGCTTCCGTCGAGATAGGCCAATACCAGCGAACCAAAGGGCCCAGTTCCGAGGTTATGGTGGTGTTGCCATCCTTGTACGAGATGGGACATTTTTGCATGCAGCCCAGCGCTCAGACCTTGATTCTCCCCAATGCGAAAACATATGGGTTGAGCTTGGACTTCCTGCAGACCTGGGTGCTAATCCTATACTCATTGGCTGTCAGTATCGCCCTCCTTCGCAATCCCTACCTGAACTTACCTCATTTTGTGACATGATGACGGATACCCTACGGGCTGTAGACCTCTCATCCGTTGATATATTCCTCACTGGTGACTACAATGCTCACAACTCTGACTGGTGGAGCGGTGACGCTACATCACGCGCTGGAAAGGAACTTTCGCATATATTCTCCAGCTTCAGTCTCTCCCAGCTGGTAGATTTTCCCACTCACACCTCTCCTAACGGACCCCTGTCGTGCCTAGACTTGCTCGCTACCAATCGTCCTCAATCAGTATTCTCTGTCGACGACGCTTGGTGCGTCCGACCATTCACAGGTAGCTACCACCCTTTTCTACAGAACTGTAACCCGAATGCCTGCAAAGGAAGTACCATGCTATCCTGCCCGTAGTTCCCCAGCCACTCCATGCAATTTTGCGCAAGTGCCACCTTCTGTCTGGGTAGCAGTAAATATGTACCTTTCCTCGCTCATCTGGTATGATCTCATGGACACACCAGATGTCGACGACGCATTAGCCAGATTCTCCTCTTCCTTGAATGATGCATTTTCCCACTACCTGTCGCCTTATTGGAAAATCTCTTCCTCCACCCAGCGAGCTGTATCTAGGAAATATCCTCCGTGGGTTAATCGAGATTTAGTACTTGCCATCAAGTTGAAGTACGAACTCTACAGCCGATATAGGAAGTTCCCAACCCCAGCTAACCAGTCTGCCTTCAAAGTTCAGCGTAACAGAGTATGAAACTTATCTCGATCTCTTCACCGTGACTATTTGGCATCTATACAGGCCAGCATGGCGTCAGGTAACCTTAACATGTACCAGTTTGTTCGTTCTCAGCGGAATCGTCAGCAGGATCGTGGCCTTCCTCACCTCATTGATGAAGGCGGTCATCCAGTTTCTGGCAGTTTCGACAAGGCTACAGTCCTCAACCAGCAGTTCGCCTCCGTTGCTGTGCCGGACGATCCATCGTTATCACTTCCAGCTCTTCGTGCCCACAGCCAACTTCATGAAACATTTGTTCAGGTCATCACCACAACTTCGGATGTTAGAAAGGCTATCGCCCGACTAAAGTCTCGCCGCAGTCCTGGCTTGGACACCATTACGAATGATGTCCTGAAGAAACTTGCCCCGTCGATTTCGTACCCCCTCTGCCGTATTTTTAATGTGTCCTTTTCGACGGGTAAATTTCCAGCAGCATGGAAACTCGCGAAGGTTGTTCCGGTTTACAAGAGCAAAGGCTCCAAGTCACAAGCCAGCAATTACCGTCCTATCTCCTTGTTGTCCTGTGTATCGAAACTATGTGAGCGATTATTCTTTGATACGCTTTATGCTCATGTGTCGCCGGCCCTTGCCCCAGTCCAATCTGGTTTTCAACGAGGAGACTCAACCACCATGCAGCTGACACGCCTTGTGCAGGACATTGTGGCCCTTCGTCATGACCACCAACATGTTGGCATGTGTTTTTTAGACCTAGCCAAGGCGTTTGACACAGTATGGTTCCGTGGACTCCTAGCTAAATTATCTGCGATGTACAATGTTTCCGGAGCGTCTCTGGCGTGGATTACGGACTACCTAACAGATAGAACGCAATCAGTGTCAGTCGAAGGGGTACTCTCAGACCCACTGCCTGTGAAGTCGGGAGTCCCCCAGGGATCTATACTGGGGCCTCTACTATTCTTGTTGTGTATAAACGATCTACCTGACTGTATAGATGGTTTGTCACTATTTGCTGATGACACAGCCCTCATTCAGTTTGACGCTGACATTGCAAACCTGTGTACGAAGCTTCAGACTGGAATCAATGTTGTTCATGAATGGATGTTGTCATGGCGTCTGAAACCCAATATCTTGAAAACAGAAATAGTCTTTCTCCCTCAAATAGACCACCCTCCTACATTTACCCTTCCCGGACTTGATTCGGCTATTAATATTACTATTGTAGATACGCACAGGCATTTGGGTGTTGTATTTGACTCGCAATTGTCCTGGAATTCTCACGTAGATTTTGTATGCAACAAAGTTAGCAAATCTGTAGGTTGCCTGATGTCTCACTGCTCCCACTTGTCTCCCGAATGCATTCGTCTCTTCTATAAATGCTACCTCCTTCCTATCTTTCTGTACGGCGCCACTGCTTGGCATTCCCTGCTTAGTAAATCTGCTGTACAGACACTAGAAATACATCATAAACGTGTGTTGAAAATTATTTTTCGTAAACCCACTCTTTTCCCCTCTACTGAGCTATATAGTTTGGCCTCCACCAGCCCCATCTCTATCCTGTCGCAGAGACAGTCATGCATTCTGGTCCATCGTATTAAACTGAACATTGTCTCTGAACATCTCACCAAGTATAATTGGTTTACTTTCGCACGGGACACTCGCAATGGCATAGCTATAAGTTCAAAGCTGCCCTCAGGAAATTTACAGCTGACTATGCTTATGCAATCAACGGAATTCCGCCACCTTGCAGTTGATTTTCCCCATTTCTCTCCTCATCAATCCCTACTTCTCTTTGTGCATACATCTACATCTACTGTTCTTTCAATCAAATGAACCCCTCGATAGGCACATTGCCTTTGGGTCATTTCATAATAATAAATAAATAAATAGTACTTCCCAGAGCTTTGTCAACTATGTTTACCAAATCTCCTATCTTCTCTGCATACTCGTATTGGCTCAAGCTGCCCATGGAAATGAAGACAATATCCAATATTAGACAGTTCATAGACCATGTTAAATGTCATGCCACGTTGTAGGCTCACTTGCCTCTTTTGCTAGCTTATCTCGCCGCTCTCCACCATGGTCAACATAGTGATACATTTCACCCCGCTGATGCATTATTTTCTTCCGATTATCATCTTTTTTCCTTCATTCTTTCTTCTTTTTTCTTCTCTTGCCATGGCTGGCTAACGCCCCCTCCTTTGCATTG